CTGATATGCATTTTTCAAATACTTTCATTCTTCTGACAGTGTCTTTCACAGAGCAGAAACTTTATAAAGTTTGACTTATCATGCTTTTTCTTTTTATAGATCATGCTTCTGATGTTATGTCTAAACACTCTTCAAGCTCAAGGGCATATTGCTTTTCTCCTGTGTTCCTGTAGAAGTTTTACAATTTACTTTAAGGTAATGGTCCATTTTGAGTCAATCTTTGTAAAAGGTGTGTCTCTGTGTAGATTTTGGCCTGTTTTTGCATTAGAGCATCCAATTTTTCCAACACCAATACCATTGTTGAAAATTCTATTCTTTCTCCATCAAATTGCCTTTGTGAATGTGTCAAAACTCAGTTTGACTATATTTGTCTTAATGTAATTTCAACATGGTCATGAAATCTATAATGATAATATTTGAATAACACAAAGGTAAAAGACATAAATGAATTCTACTAAATTACAACATTCACTTTATGCTGTTTATTTTCAGTGATCCATTTTGTTACTATCATGACCTGCCTCCTGCCTCCTTCTTTACGCTCCCCTCTTCATATTCACTCTCCAGCCTCCTGGCAGTCTTTCTGTTACTAAATCATACCAAAGTCACATGGGCCTGTGTACTTATCCACTTTCTTGTGGGAGGATTTCAATTTAATTTGCTTTTATGAGCCTAAATGAACCCCTACAACTCATAATCTTTCCTTTCCTCTTAATAAATTTTAATTGTTAAGAAAGTTATGCCAGATATGAAAGTTCCTTTCCTCCAGATACATTATTCACATTGCAACAGAGGAAGAAAACATGTAAAGTTTATAACATTCTTGTGAGAAGTCCCTTCTAAATCAGAAATGATGCTGCCTTACTGTTTAATGTTTCTATTTGGGAAACAGAAATAGGCCTGATCCTTAATGCCTCAATGAGGGGAGGGAAAGTCACACACAATCTATTGTTTCCACTTTAGGTGTGATCTCCTTCAGATATCCCCTGCCTTACCGCTGATATGCTCCCCTGAGCATGCCCGTGGAGTCCTTTTCCAAGGGATGGACTTCAGCCTGAAGTCCAAGACTAAGCAGTCATTTGGTGGAACCCATCCCCAGTTAGAGAGTTAAAGACAACCTGAATAGTATCTGAATATTATCCTATGTAGGGACAATATTCCACAAATCTTTTGATGGGTTTCTGTCTCCTGGCATCTGTGAACTTCCATCTCATTATGCCAAAAAGAAGAAAGTTTATTTTTAGCCTAGAAAATGGTCTGGTTTGGGCCAATTCTAAGACATCTCCACTTGGAAGGTTTTCCCCAGGCTGATTCCTTCTCTTCATTCACATATTATTTGAAATATTACCTCCTCACCTGACCACCTTATTTTAAAACTACCTCTTCACCTAGTCATTATGTTTCATTTCTTTTATAGATAGGTCTTAACAGTTTCAGAAATTATTGTGTTTGTTTTCGGACTTTCAAACTCCTCCTCCACCCTCCCTCTTTGGAATATCAAGAACCTTGGCTGTTTTCATCATCCCTGGGACCTGAAACATAGCATTTTCTTAAAGAAATTTTTTTAATTATCAAATAACAGAACAAATAAATAAATAAATGAGTGATGTTAGATTATAAATCATGCATAGAATAATTAGGCATTTAAATGTATTAGTGGGAAAAATGTGATGTTAAATTATAAATCATCCCAGAATAATTAGGCATTTAAATGTATTAATGGGAAAAATATATCAACAAGAATGTATATATCAACGAGAATTCAGAGGAAATGAAGTTAGAAGATTCTTCCCAGATGGCATCTGTAAGACAATGTTCACTTTCCTTTCTTATAACGAAAAACTAAAATCCTTACCTAACTCATGCATCTGAATATTTTAGGCATGTCTTCCAGAAGCCATACTTGTCCAGTGGTCAAAATGGTCCCCAACCTTTGTGCTGTGATAAAGTCAACATGCAATTCTAAAGTACATACAAAATATTGAACAACCTTTTAGTCACCTAACAAAAGATTACATCTAAGAATAGGATAACAGGAATACACTGATAGATCCAAGTGATGTCTTGGCTGGTGGGAACAGCAGAGAGCCAATATTCTAAGCTCCTCATTTTAAACAGGAGAAAATGAGCCCAAGTTATGCAGATATTTATGGGCACCTGTGGGAACTGCTGAGTACTATGGAATGGTGGAACTCCAAAAGTAATTTATTTACTTTGTACCAAAGTAACCAGTAATTTCAGTAGTCAAGTAAACAGTCACTTGTTTTGCTAGATTTCCGAATCAAGCTGAGTAGGAAAAGGTTCCAGACACTCATCATTTTCTATCATAGTGAGTTCTTCGATTATTTCAAATCAGAAAGTGCACCAGCAGCGATAGCTGGATGGTCTCATCACTCACATCTCATTAGTTGAGTGATTTCAATCAAACAATTAAAGATGTACAGATTACTTCTTGAATAAATTCTTATTTCTTGGCTTTAGTGCAAGAGAGAATACTATTTTAATAAACTCAGTTTCTGAGAATATTCTGTGTCTTTCCTTTTGCTTTTTTAGTAGGATATTGTCATGATGGTGCTGTTAATTCTATTTTAGAGACATCTTTTTATTAGAATAGAGTAAGGACCCAATATTCCTAGATTTAGGCAATTGTGTCCAGGAAAAGTATGACAATCACACATAATTAATAAGCTGCAAAAATATGATATCTTCTAAATTGTTTTCAGAATATGTCATTCCTGCAGTGTGAATAAACCCAGACATAATGAAATGATCCTAATGAATCAGAAACCCTTCTCTCATCACTCAAATATCCATTCCTTCTTTACAGCAGCTTCTGGTTTGATTTAATACATTATTGTTGAAGACAGGGCCCATTAAACAGCCATAGAAAAGTGAGAACGTGTTCCTTTTAGGTTTTTATACCCTTAAAATGATATTCAGATGATTTTAATTACCACAAAAGCATTGAGATGTTAATATACTTTATAAAAGGGAGGGATACCATTTCATCCATGCTTTTCTGCAGTGAATTTCAACTCCAAGAAAATTATTTCTTTTGATCCACTCTGATAGCATGTAATAAAAGAACAATAAAACATATGGCTCAATTACCACTGCTTCTCATCAAGCATGAATTAATGAATATCAAATTATTATTAATTGTTTTTTCTGGCTCTCTCTCCAAAGGACAACAATTATACATTGCTGTATTTTGATAAGCATTTTGTGTTTAACACTTTATGAACCAATCTCTAACAGGAACAGATGCATGAAATTATTATAAAGGAGAATGATTCTTTGAATTTATCAACATTCAGAGTACACATGACTATATTTTAAACTCCCTAGTTCATATCAGTTTTTCACAACTGCCTTAAAACTTCTCTAGAATTCCACCCCCACCTCAATGTTCCATAAACCCCTTTCTATAAAAAGTTGCTTATAAAATATGCATATAAAATGGTTTACAAATTCAATTTCTCAATGTTAATAATACTAATTCCTTACATGATTACCGAATCTTCAATTGCTTCAGAAAAAGTTCTTTAAAAGCTATCACTTGAGCAATTAAAAAATAAGTTAATCAGCATAGCAGAGAATATAATAAATTACGATCATTGTAACAGACAGAATCAGTATTAGTGACTATTAAAAGACACGCCACAGAAAAATCCTGCATAACTGATAGTTTATTTTTATAAGCCTTTTGTAAATATAAAGTGCTATGTAATATGAACATATGCAACATACTAAAGACCTTGTTAAAGAACACGTCTCTGTAATCCATAACCATCATGTCTCATAGATTACATATACCCAGATTTTGAAATGCATGCAAAGAAAGTTTACAAATTATAACATGTAACCTACACATGTCGTATGATTTTATCTATTACCCATAAATCCGTTTCTTTCTATTTTTAAAATACAATTTCTAAACCCTTTGTGTGTGATTAAACTGAAGGACAATACTAAGGTTAAATTGTTTATATTTCTAGCTAGCTCATTATTTAACAAACACATATACAGATGTTTCTAAAAAGCAAACTAAAACTTGCTTTAGGATCAGAGAATTTGAGGAGCAAAAGGGAATCTTAGAAATCATTTTGTTCAATGTCCTTCATGCTGCAAGTAATGGCACAGAGATCTGGAAAGTTTAAATGATTTTCTAAGGCCTACACAACTTTTTATGTTAACATCTTTCTGGCAAACCTTATAAGAAAATTTCTATTAGCATTTCTTTTGCAGAAGTGTAATCTTGTTTCCTTAACAGTTTGTCAGGATGTCAAGAAGGTCTGTGAATCCAAATTCTTGGGGAAATAAATGTGAAAAAAAATAGAAACTTTGTTATACGACAAGCAGACATTGTACGGAGCAGGTATGAACCTGGCTTGGGTGACAATGCTCCCTGCCTATCAGAAGCATCATTCCTTTGGTACTAGTAACTAGAACCACTGGAACTTTTCATAGCTAAATCTAGCCAGATACCAGATGGTTCTTTTTATGTGTACCACATTATAGAAGGCAATTAGATTATTTATGCAGTAGCAGAATTAATTTTATGCAAGTCGATCTTCAATGAAAAAGCTTTTCTAGATTATATTCTTAAAACTTTTAACCGATTTTTCAATGAATGCTTTTCTTCTTGATTTCCACGTGCCAGAGTTATTGAATCCACTTTGCTGAAAAATTTGAAGAAAATAACAGTTAGATATGCAAACTCAGTACAAAAACAAGCCAATCACTAAAATTTACAAAGCAATTATTCACCCAGGGGTTAGTGGTGGATTAAAGATTCCATTTATTCTCATCCAGAAATCACCGCTGTGGCTGCTGGCTATACTGTATATGTGAAGTACTAGATGCCTGGTATGTACACTTATGCCAAAGAGTTATATCTTGACAACTTATATGTACTATAAAAAAATGCAATGCCTGTGAGTGCACATCAGCAGAGAGGAGGACGCAAAGATTTCTGGGTCTTTTAATAACAACACCTCCTAAGCCATGTCAAGGACTTCTATGAGACTGAAAGCTTTAGAGCTACCACCATGTACCTCAAGACCCATTATACAGTAGTCGAGCATGATAAGACTGCTAAATGAGAAGGAAAAGTGACTGTGAGAACTCTCTGGAGAAAGCAGAAAATAGAAGGCAAAGTATGAATATAATTAGGTTTATTCTTGTAATTGATTCTGCAGCCTGATGGAATGTGGGTTTCTGAATATTTTTCAGAGCATTTTCCAGATATAGTCTCCCAGTTGCTTATTAATATCACATTGTTTGTTATTAAATTCCATACTTTGGACCCTATGTAGGAATCCCAAATGTTTCTCTTTCATTCACTACTAGAAGACATCAGGAAAAAAATATCTTTCACAGAGTTCTGTTGACCATTTTTTCAATATCATTTTTGCTATTCTATTTATTATTGTTCTACAAATAAAATACTGATACTGGATTTTAAAAACCAACCAATCTTTGTAGGACTTCATTTTGCTAATTTACAGTGTACTCTTTTAAATCAATTTTTAAGCCTTTCATGCTTTGTTTATAGAAAATGTTAGTTAAAAACACAGGTCCCCAATGCTTTTTTTCTCACACTATTTATGCTAATTAAGAGTCCAAGTTATAGTAACATTGGTCTTACACTGGTAAAAAATACTTAGATGCTATATTTATATAAAATTAACTCTAAATTTTCCACTTAAGAGTAAAATTAAAAGGCATTTAGTGTACTAACCAAATTAGGAAAAAATTATAGAATATAACATAGTATCCAATTGCAAGTATAAAAGCTCATTTATAGATATGAACTTAATTTTAAATAATTATTTAAGCAGAGAAGATCTATTTTTGTTCCCCCAAAAATGAAAAAATATTATAAATAAATGACTTCTTTGTTTAGTTGTATCTATGTCTAGTCTGATACCAGAAGACACTATAAAAATTGACTGACCTTTATACTACATAGCAAAATACTTCCATAGTATAAATATCTGCAGCTGATATTTAACTAAATATAATTAATAAAATATTTTACTTTATTGAAAGACATAATTTTCATCAATGCCAAATGCTTAATTAAGTTAACAAAAGTGACAGTCCTTGTAGAGCACAACACTTACCCATCACTTTAGAGTAGCAAGGTTCACAGTGGATTGTGTGCCTGTAGATCCAAATACTGTCACCTGCTTTTAGATTTTCCAAAGGCTGCTTACATATTTCACACTAATGAAAAAAAACACAGATGTGAAGTTTACATTGTAAATTAAATCTCGATTCTTAGAGGAAAAAGGATAGTCTTTTCAATTCATTCAGGACCATCCGCCATAGTCACACTCAGAAGGAGCCTCAAGGGGAAATCACAGAGAAATTGAGAAATATTTGTCTATAATCCATGTGCCAAACTTTTCAAATAGATTCTCATCATCTCTTTACCATGAAGGTACACTTCAGGGCATACATACCACTTAAGTTTTCTACTAAACTCACCTTAGAGTAAATATAAACTTGTAAAAGTTGTTATGTCAGAAACAAGATCGCTACTCAATATTCTTGAAAAAACCCACGAAGCTGCATTTCTTGTTTGCCTACATAAGGGAGAGCCATGCTGCCCAGGCACGACCTCACTGAGTAAAATAAACTGCTGGCCCTATTTGGAGGGAATTTGGAGGGAAAATTTGTTTTAAGCTATGTTGGTGGCAGAGGCAGGAAAGGGTTGACCTCTGCTTTATTCCTTCCTGCCCACTGCTGATATTCTTAATTCCTAGCAAGAGGTTCTCGCTGGCTGGTTGACTTTTAGAAACAAGTTCACTGAAGCAAATTGTCATTGATCAGTTGCACGTATTTAATGAGGTTCAGATAGTTCTCTATAAACATGGCTATAGGCCGGGTGTGGTGGCTTATGCCCATAATCCTAATACTCTGGGAGGCTGAGGAAGGGGGATCACCTGAGCTCAGGAGTTCGAGACCAGCCTGAGCAAGAGTGAGACTCCATCTCTACTAAAAATAGAAAAAACTAGAGGATTCCTTGAACCCAGGAGTTGTACAGCATCACAGCAAGCTAGCCTGGGGCAATGGAGTGAAACTCTGTCTAAATAAATAAATATGGCTATAGATTAATAATCAGTTTTTTTCTAAAAGTGTGGGGATATTTTTATTCTCAATCATGTTTGATTGATCTTATATTGAAAATAGGAATGAAATATCTAAAATACAATAAATGAAAATTACTTCCATTTACCAAAAGTGATAATCAGGTGAATTTTCTCATTTCAGAATATTTTCTATATAATAATTTTAAGCAAAAAGCTTCATAGTAACTTTTGTTGAACTTAATATATTTCAGAACTAAAAGAAAGTAATTTTCTATGCTCATCATTAAATAATTATACAAACTTCATATTATATTCTATATAGAATTCTATGTAGTATGCCCTAATTTGGATTTTTTTTCCTCAAAGTGAGCTGCCACTCATGCACTTTGGATTACTATTTGTCACTGTTTGAAGGTGACCAGAAGAGAAGCCATAGTGACAAAGTGCTATATTTATTTGGCTGAATTAGATACTCTGCACCAACCATAGAATATCGGCACTAGAAAGAACCCATAGATTTGGGGAAATGGTTCCCAACTAGCTTCATGGGTGATCTATCAAAGGAGCTTTTAAATATACCTATGCCCACTAATCATTTCTAAGATTCATGATTTATTTGGGGTGAGTCCCAAGAATTCTATTTTTTCCTAATCTCCCCAGATGATTATGACATGCAGCAGGGTTGATATCCACTAGTCTATTCATCTATTTCATTTTAAAGATAAAGAAACTGAACCAAAGGTTATTTAGGTGATTGTCCAGTCACGCAGACACCATTTCTGGCAGAGGCAGAACTCAAACTCAGGTCCTCAGATTCCCAGCTCAGTTCTTACGTAGTTACACCAAACACTATGATTGACCCGCCCAATGTTATTATGAGAATGAAAGGAAATAGCCTATGAAAGAACAGATTGCAAGGCTCTACTAATAGAATCCTTTTTACTATTTATTAAGCCACAATTAATTACAATTAATCATGATCTCAAAAGCAAGCTGGGTTTTAACCATTGTTAAACCCATCCATGTTAATTTCATGTTGTAAAAATTGCCGGCTTTATTCCTGACAATTTATTTTCTTTTTTACATTTCATCAGATATTTTTCATAATACATGATTTATTAAAATGTTGCAAAAAACTTTTATAAAAAGAACAAGTGTTCCTTTTTTCACATATTCAAATCTCTAGGGCAAGAGTGAATAAATGTGTCAGTAATCAACTCCAAGCCTAAAGCCAAGATAGTAATTACAAACCTTTGAGGTTTAGGCTGCAGAACTCTGGGAAATATTTAAGTGGTGAATTATTAATATGGAAGAAAGTGTTTCTGAAAGCTTTAACTTCATCTATTTCATTACATAATTATTTTTATTCCAGTCATTATGCAATTTTATCTTTCGTTAAGTGAAATAAACATATCCTTACCTTAAAGCAAGTAGAATGGCAGCAAATTTGTAATTCATCTAAAATCATTTTAGTTTCTACACCCAAGGGTTTGCGACAGTAAGTGCACATATCTCTTTCAATGACAGACCTATAGAAATATAAGCAATTAAAAATAAATTTGTCATCATATAAAGGACTGATGTAGTCCCTATGAAGTCGTGGGGAAATGATATGTTAATTTTGATGCTCATTGGGAAATTGCACAAAAATTGAGCAAGGCTTGGGATTTACTTATTCTAGTAATAGAACTGATTTGTCTGGTTACCTCAAAATGATGACAAAGACTTAACAAGAGTCAAAGCTCAAATTATTAATTCATCAGGAATCAAGAGTATATCTGGACAGGACAAAGATGTTCAGTTTTCTAGCTGAACCAGGTCATAAGGACCCCTTGAAGCTAGAAGAGGATTTTGAATTACTAATTTACATATGTCATTTTACAGATTACAGGGAAAAATGGTGGGGCAGAGATTAATATAAATTTTTAACTCTCAAAACAGTCAATAGGTCAAAAATAGAAATCCATTCAAGATTTGTGATCCATCACTCACGAAGGATGGATCTGTGGGGCCTGGGACTGTAGGGTCCAGAGTCACCCAAACACTCCCCTTGGTGTCGAGTCTCAGGATACAGGAATATATATATAATGACAAAATTTATTCTCTCCAGCAAGATATAACCCCACCACAAAGATGATGAGTAAAATAGAGTTGTGTTCTTTATTTTAGAAAAATAATGTTCAATAGTAAATGATTTCTGGTTGTGATCAACAGAGTCCAAAGCACCTTGGGTCACACCAGAGCCTTAAGCAAGGATTCTTTTCATTTTAGAGACTCAGAACTGTCTTAAATGATACCTTTCAATGTCAACTAGTTTTGGGGCATTAGCATGCAGGTCTGAAATTTCCAGGGTAGGATACATGACGGAGTTGTGAAATAAAAATAGCAAACACTTACATAGTGCTTACTATGTGCAGTCCATTTTCCTACACACTTACTTTACTTATACGAACTCATTTATTCTTCACAACATTCCCAAGAAGATGGTATTATTATTTTTTATTGTCATTTTATAAAAAAGGAAACTGAGGCCCAGAAGATAAGTAACTTGCCAGTGTCGTAAAACCAGTGTGTGGGAGAGCCATAATACAAATGTCTGATATTCTGCTAATATTTCCCTCTATCGCAGGAGCTGGAAATACGACTCATTGAGGGTAAAGACGTGTCTTATTTTTGTGTGTAGCCTCAGCTTCTAAAACTACTTGGCACCTAACATAAAATATTTTTTGAAAACCTGAACTTACTTCTCATTCACTAAGGGAAATATGGGTTGCAATGCTAATCATTTACTTTCATTTGCTCCACTAGAAATCTACAACCTACACTCTTAGGAATGTCAGTTAGGTGCTCCATTGACAATTCAGTGGTAAAGAGGATTACTGATAGCAAAAGCCTGGAATGGGGCCAGTTTGCCAGCTCTTAATCAATACTCATCATAATTTTACTCCTGGGAATGGAGCCTGGCCAGAGTGGGTGGTAGCAGCAAAACCACACAGCAGCTGTTTGTAAGGTGAGGTGTTTGTAAGGCTTCAAGACAACAGTGAAGAGGGAGGGCTGAGGGCACAGACTAGTGATGTGGTGAAGCCCAAATGCTGATAATGAGGCAGGACTGGGGACTCCTGGGAACCCCAACCAGCAGAGGGGCTGGCTTGGGAGACAGCTGGAAGGCACGAAGAGGTCTTTTGGAATAATGTGCATCAAAATTAGAAAGCCGCAACAGCCAGGAATTCAAGAAAAAAATTCCCAGATGCAGAGGTTTTCGTTAGTGAGCTGTACTTGGCTCCATCCGTGCACAGGCAGAGCAAGCAGTACCAGCACAGCCATCACCAAGTGCAAAGCGCAGCACGAAATCTGTGTCTATGTGTGTACATGTACACACATATGTGTATGGATATATTTATGTATGGAAATAAAGACACTCACCTATCTGAAGTTGAATAAACAGTCTGTATGTATTTTCCAGAGATATTCTCCTGATATCCATCCCTTGGTGATTTACTAGAAACAAACAAACACGGACATGTGAGAATCAGGCTATTTTCCTATATGAAAGTTAGGAAATAACACATTGACTCATGCAGCCTTGTTTTTATTATTCTTTGTTACAGGCCCGAATAATATGCTAGGACCTTTAATTCTTCCGTCTGTAGAAGTGTTGATACCCAAGACACCTTCAGGTTGAACATCAAGCAAAGTCAGTAGAGACTAGGGTAAGGAGCACAGGAACAAGTGTGAGCAGGAAAAGAAGTCGATTTTTCCTAAAATTTGTGCTTGCGCTTCAGTTACTTGAGGAAAGCAAGCTGTGTCAGGGCAGCACAGAGGCAGGGAAAATGCAGAGCACAAGAAGGTGAGCACCTGTGCGCCATGCCGCCCAGGGAGGAACAGACACTCGGAACTTGTAGAAAAAATTCTAGAATTTTTATTTTCACTTGAAAACATCCAAGAAAGAAAAAATTAGGATGAAAACAAGGGATACGTTTTTAAAAGTCCTCTCTTTCCCCTCTGTGGATTGTGTCAGCTTTTATAAGTCACTCTTTCTTGGGGATGAGCGAAACCTATAATGCACTAACCAGCTGGCTGTTCATAATCACTTCCCAAGGACTCATGCTACCCGGGAGTCCACAGCACAAAAGGCAGTATGTGGTCGTGACACAGATGTTTCTTTTATTTCGTACAGAGAGTGATAATTCTGCGGCCCTCACTCGGGATTTTTTAATGAGAAACTTCTCTTTCCCTCCAAAGTGCCTGTAGGTAGACTGCGGTCAGAACCAAAATCTGCTTCGTGGAACACATTTCCCCACAATGCTACATAAGGGTTTGCACACACTGATGCTTGATGCATACAGCATTACTCTCCTTTTATTAGTAAAGAAACTGATACTTGAAGAACTTTGCCAAGGCTGAGTGGTTACAAAATGACAGACAAAGATTCAACCCCAAATTTGACTCTACAGGCGTTCTCAAACTACGGCCCACGGGCCACATGCAGCCCACCTAGGACATTTATCCAGCCCTCTGGGTGTTTTTGCCACCGCTGCCTGTCCTGCTTAGCAGCTGACTCATCCCGGGGCTCACAGCCTGGCTCTCCAACGGTCTGAGGGACAGTGAACTGGCCCCCTGTTTAAAAAGTTTGAGGACCTCTGGACTACTTACTGTACCACCCTGCTTGTCAATGTAAATTTTAGGAGAATTAGGGATGCTCCAGGTACACCACCATACTTGTTAGGTTAAGGTATGGGAGGCAATCAATCTTTCCAGAGTGTTCTGGCCTGCAAACTATTGGCCTGATATGCCACAATATTAATATTACCTTTTATAGCAATGGGCTGAAACTTGAAAGCGTACCAGGAACATGTGAAGAATTTGTTAAAACACAGATTACTGGGCCCCACTTGCAGAGTTTCTGATTCAGCAGGTCTGGGGTGAGGGCAAAGAATTGTCATCTCTAACAAGGTCCCAGGCAACACTGCTACTGACCCAGAAGTCCAAACTCTGAGACTTACTGTTCTGTATGTGTACACGATACACGTAACACATATATACGTGGTATGCAGTTTTTAAAAATAAACTATGTTAATTATAGTTAAATAAGTCAATTATGTTTTAGTCTTGGCATATCCCTAAAACAAGTTATTCTTGTTTGATAGTAATAACATTCTTCTATTCATCTATTTAATAAATCAAAAATTCTAGAGTATTATGTTTAATAGATTACTCTTAATACTTTACTAAAATAATCATTATGTCTTTAAAAATCTATGATACAGGTTGGCTTTAGTTCCCAGGTGACCTTTCTTTAAAAAGTTAAGTGTATCTGGAGGTGCCTGTAGCTCAAAGGAGTAGGGCGCCAGCCCCATATACTGGAGGTGGTGGGTTCAAACCCAGCCCTGCCAAAAACTGCAAAAAAAAAAAAAAAAAGCTAAGTGTATCGATATGATATCCCATAGAGCTAACAATGTGTAAGAGGGATATTATATAAATACATAATAAATGTCTATTTTTTAATTCTATTTGCCAATATTTGGCGTCTGTCTTCATCACTATAATATTATTTTGATACAATTTATCTATTAAGAAACTTAACAATTTCTTTCAGAGTTTAACTGCTTGGTATTTTAAAATTTATTTTGAATTTTATCTTTTAGTTTAATTAAAAGATAGCAGCGATCACTGACTCTAACACACCAGAGTGGAAAGTGGATTAAAGAGAAAAATTAGTCTTGAGCTTGCATATAAATCATGCAAGGGCTGGAGAAACTTTCTTTTTCAGCAGACTGCTCACCTCCTGGTGTGCACTGAATTTCCTGGAGGCCCTTCCAGGTCTTCTGCCTTCCACACAGAAGCCTTCTTGGAGATGCTGCTGCCAGGCCACTTTGAAAAGGGCTCTGATTAACAATGGGTCACACGCGTCTGCATTTGTGTGCCCTGCCTTTATATTACCCTACACTTAGGCCAATTCTTGTCTTTATACTTCTCGAAAACCAAACATATTTTGAATCCCTGACCTTGGTTGACATTTTCCTCAACATCCATCACTCCAAGCAGCATATTTCATGGGACATGAACTCCTGTAATTTGGCTCAGGATGTATCTACATAGAGTTACACCCCTCATTTCAGACTGAAGGTGAACTACAGTGGATGGACCCAGTTAATTACACTGGGACTCCTAATTAGTATGGGATAGGAGTATAATTTTACAAAGCTTATTATAACCAGTTATATATGTTTATGTGAGAACTTTTCAACAGCAATCTTATTATGTACACATCATGTTACAATGCGATTAAGTCCATCCAATGACTATATTGGATAATATCCAAAACATCATAAAAATTGTATACCTGGAACTCAATATGCCCTTAAATGGTCTTCTATTTGAAATAAGTAGATCCTAATGGACCTAAATGTTAATAGAATGTTTTGTTAAACACAAATCATTTTAAAATTACAAAATAAAACAAAATACATGGAATAAATTTCCAATACCTATTCTCCACATATGTCCTTGTGTACACAACAGTATCCTGTGGTCCTGCATGCTTGGTTCCAACACTGGAGCTGCAATACAAACCATTTTATTCCATGTTTAAAGTTATTGACAAGGACAATAAAAGCAAAAAGTCTATCTTCCAATTCAACGCAAACACTAACATTTGTCCATTTCTTTTAAACTATAATTGTTGAAATATATATCGTAAAGTGGCATTAATCCACTTGTGTAATTTCTTTCTGTCTCTTAGTTTATTCTTAACTTCCATTGTCTTGGCCAACTTCCTATTTTTATGAAAATTAGTTACTCAGTAAATCTGCTATACAGTGTGAAGATTATTCTGAATATTTGTTTAATATATTATAATCTCTGTCACCCTGATGTCTCATTTATATTTTCAAACCATAACTTTCCCTACAAACTTCAAACAAAAAGTGGGCCTTAATTAGGAACCATGACACCATCTGATTTTTTTTTTTTTTTTTTTTGAGACAGAGCCTCAAGCTGTCCCCCTGGGCAGAGTGCTGTGGCATCACAGCTCACAGCAACCTCCAACTCCTGGGCTCAAGCGAGTCTCCTGCCTCCGCCTCCCAAGCAGCTGGGGACACCATCTGATTTAACGAAACCTTTAGATCTACCTAAGGAATGTCACATCGATGTCACAATTGTGCTTCTTAAAATTGTAGGCTTTTTAAGAAAAAATTATATTTTATACTTTGCTTTATAGTCACAGTAATGACCAAGCTGCTAACTCAACACTTCTGTATAAGACTGTTTACATATAGCCCCAGATAAACTTAGAAATGTTTGCATTCATAGGAGGGGACAGGGGATATATTTTTTAAAAAACAGGAAGAATAGTTCTGTCATTTGTTTTGTAATTGACTACAGTACCTGAGATTGTCCCTGGCTTCGTAGGAATAGGCAGAGGGTCTCGGGGACTGATTGTGGAGAGCACTGGTGAGTCCATTGACTTGGCCATCTAGCCTGAGAAAACCAACACAAGTATTTGACCCTTAAAATCAAGGCGACTTAGAAGTTTTTTTGTTTTATTAAAATTCTTCTCAATTAACAATATTTTACATATAGTGAACCTGCTTATGTTTGCCTGGTTTTTGCACAGATAACACAAATAGAACCCATGTACTATTTTACTTCTACCACAGAAACTACTGTCTTACATTTAAGAATAATCAACGTCTGCCATATTGTCTGACATTGCCATCTTTATCAAGGACAGAAATACCATCTGAAATCAGTTCCTATAACATTTTCATACCAGCAAGGTCATTTTTATAAGGCCTCTCATGTACAATATAACTGAGAGTTTATTAATCTAATGAAAATGATCCAGAGGTTACTTTGAGAAATTCCAGTTTCTATTCTGTTTTTAATGGAAAGCAATTCTTTGAAGATTGCAGAACTCTGACCTAGATTTCTGATAATCTAAAAATGTCGCTATGCTTAACAAAGTATAGGCATATTTGCCTTTTCCTAAGGAACAGAGGAAATTTCTTAATGCAAGAATAGTAACAATTTCAGCTCCTTTTCCTCCTTCCTGTTAGTTAACTCTAGCATGGGAGAGACATGAAAATCTAAAGAAGACTTTCCTTAGCCAAGCTCTACCATTCACAAACAGGCTGTTCTATCCATTTCCAGAGAGCTCTTAAAGAAGATGCAAACATTTGTATACATACAATTGCTGGCATACAGAAAATCATCCTCTGGTTTTAAGGCCAATGTTTCAAAAAACATACAGCTGAGTTAAAATTATATTAAGTCAAGAGAAGGCGAAATTAACATTATTAGGTTTTCTAATGTAATTATTAAACTGCGTTATCCCAGCAATAATAAACCTAGCAAAAAATTGTTGAAAATATTCAAATCCTATAATATACAAAACAAAACTCAACTTTAACAAACAACTTGAAAGGAGAAAGGTTATCAATGAGTCCAAAATGCATCTGTATTGTTCCCAGCAATGTAAAATTAAAATCACCCGTTTGTAAAATCCACAAACAAGAAAGGAAAACAATTTGCAAATACTACTGTTATGGACTGAATTGTGTTTCTTCAATGAAACAATGTTCATATGGTGAAGTCTTAAACCTCAGCGTGATTATATTTGGAGACAGGATCTATAAAGAGGTAATAAAAGTTAAGTGATGTCATGGGGGTAGGGTCTTAATCTGAATTTGGACCTGGTATTCTCATAGCAAGAGGAAGAAATACCACAGACCTCTCTCCTTTCATGCAAAGGAAAGGCTACCAGAGGACACGAGAGAAGGCAGCCATTCGCTAGCCAGGACAAGAGAAATTTGTTCTCACTGCATGGATCTTGGGACTTTCAACCTGCAGAACTGTTAGAAAATAAATTTCTGCTGTTTAAATCACTCAGTCTGTAGTATTTTATTATGGAAGCCCAAGAAGACTAATACAAATATTCCTTAGTTGTATTTATCATGTGATTAGTGACCAGATCTTTATGAAAGATTAAATTTTTATAATTGTGAACAAAAACCAAATGCTAAATTTGGAATGTAGGACAACAAACTCTTTAATGGATTTTGTACCTTATATAGGTTTTTAAGGATGATACATTTTCCTTAAAAATAAGCCTTATTCTAGCACACTGGGAGGCCAAGGGGGGTGGATCACATGAGCTCAGGAGTTCGAGACCAACCTGAACAAGAGCAAGTCCCCATCTTTAAAAAGAGCAAGCCAGGTGTTGCAGTTGGTGCCTGTAGACCCAGGTACCAGGGAGGCTGAGGCAAGAGAACTGCTTAAACCCAAGAGTTTGAGGTTGCTATGAGCTATGATGCCACCACACTCTAATCTACAGTGCTTTTTTTTTCTTTGAGACAGAATCTCAAGCTGCCACCCTGGGTAGAATGCCATGGCATCATAGCTCACAGCAACCTCCAACTTTTGGGCTCAAGCAAACCTCTTGCCTCGGGTTTTCTATTTTTTTAGTACAGACAGGGTCCAGGGTCTCACTTTTGCTCAGGATAGTCTTGAACGTGAGCTCAAGCTATCCACCTGCCTCGGCTAGCCTCCCAGAGTGCTAGGATTTTAGGTGTGAGCCACTGCATCCGGCCTGCTTTTTGAAATGTCATTGGGTCCTTCATCCTGATATGCTGATTTAATTGGTTTGTAATACAATTTAGACATTGGAAACTTTTAAACCTCTCCAGTGAGTCTCACTTGCAGACAAGGTTAAGAACAATTGCCTTAGAAGTTGGTAATTCCAACATCTTACCCAAAAGAGAACTCATTCTCAAAGTGTAGTCCCTGGAATAGCTGATGATTCTGATCTATCTAAAAGTTTGGAAACCAGTGCAATAGAAGTTTCCTCTGTGGAAGTATTTTTCTCAAATGCCTTGAATAATCCTTGTAATGAACTCAGGGCTTACAATGATTGTCACTTGACAGCTGTGTTGTTGGAAAGTTATTCTCCATTGAAACAAATTGCTAAACTATAACTTTCAATCAGTGGTCACAGTTTTGTTTCTTAATTAAACAATCACTCTACAAATACAAGTACAAACATTGTATTGAATCTTATAGAATTCCAAATGGAATTGCACTTGAGAAGATATTTCTTGCAGTGGAAATTCACCTTGAAAATTTATCTGTCTGAAACCTTCTTGTACAGTGTGAGAATATAAAATGGTGTGGCTGCTTTAAAAAACAGTCTGGTAGTTCCTCAAATGGTTAAACATAGAATTACTATAAAATCCAGTGATTTGGCTTGGCTCCTGTGGCTCAAGTGGCTAAGGCACCAGCCAAATACACCTAAGGTGGCGGGTTTGAATCCAGCCCAGGCCCACCAAACAACAAGGACGGCTGCAACCAAAAAATAGCCAGGCGTTGTGGCGGGCACCTGTGGTCCCAGCTACTTGGGACGCAGAGGCAAGAGATTCACTTGAGCCCAGGAGTTGGAGGTTGCTGTGAGCTTCGATGCCACAGTACTCTGCCCAGGGGGACAGCTTGAAGCTTTGTCTCATTAAAAAAAAAAAAAAAAATCCAGTGATTTCATTCATGGGGATCTTCCCAAGAGATACAGAAACATGAACCATATTTTCATGCAAAAAGTGTATATAAATGTTCATAGCAGCATTTATTCATAATAGTGAATTACAGTCTAATACTGAAAACAATCCACATATCCATCAACAATGAATAGATAAAATTCCCTGGCTACTTTATATGGTTTTAAAAGTGTTACATGTCCTTGAAATCTGGGCAATGGTTCTATGAAGTTTATTTCACTCACAATAACTAACCATTTAGTTTAAGGAAAGACTCCATCATTTAGAATTCAAATAAAAACATTTAAAGTTATTCCTAATAAGTCAAATTAGAAAACCTATATTTGCCTGGGCATCTAATTATAATATAAAGTGAATATATTCATAAAGTGAATAAAGTCTCAGTTTAATTTATTTGTTATCAAACATTTTCAGAATGGAGAATAAGGAAGGCAGTAAAAGGAGAGAGAAAGAGAAAGATGGGCAGAGAAGCACTCATGGAATAGCTGGGTTACTTCAAAGAAACAGGGTTAATTTCCAAGAATTCCTGATGAAACTTCTTGTCAAGAATGAACAATTCAGACCTCTTGGAGGCCTGACCTTGCCACCATTTCTGCTCTTAAGTTTCCATGAAATTCCATTTCTACACTATCCTCTCCAATAATATTCCATTTCATGAATAACCCCATCTGAAACTGAAGCACCTCTCACATCATATTAACTGGCAAGTTCCTTAAATATAAACATTTACTTAATATATTTTTTACCTCAATAACTTGCAAATAATATTTGAATGAGGTTGATTAATTGTAAACTCAGTCCTACCAAAAGAGTAGACATGTTTTCAGGATAAGCAGATCATACTGAAAATTTATCCTCCCTCATTTTATCAAAGACATTCTTGGGATTACAAAAAAGAAAGAAGATGATTTGAAGAATTAAGGAAACAGAAAAAGACTTCTACCTGTTAGATTCAAGAGCCTTTTTTACACATGATGGGGGGGGAAGTGAGTCGCCACTTTTTTTTAGCTTTTCCATTCTCTGAAGACAATATTAACAATATCATTTCTTTACATAAAATATTAACAGAAAAGGCAGCTGTAACCTTAGGAAGGGAAAAATAGGAACTTACTATAAACATGGAAAAGTTATTCTCTCCTAATTTAAACAATCCACAACAACAAAGAAGTACAGCTTCTATCCTAACCTTTATTGTAATGGCAAACACAGCACGATAGTTTTAAAACCATTACGCCTATGGTGTGAAGAAATTTTAAAATTAGGTCCTGTTTTGTGGCTGTGATTAATATGTGAATTCTTTTAGCACTAGGTATCCAAGGAAGAGATTCTCAGAGTGCATTATGCACTGTGGAAAACCTACCAAGCAACAGTAAATAAAAATAAATCTTCACAGTCCAAGTAAAGAGCTTTGAATTTCCATAATGCCTTCTACACTAAGCAGTAATACAGCAGGCGTTGAGTCAGAAATTCTAACAGAATTTTGTTAATTTTTTTCCATGTTAGCTTGTATGTATTAAGAAACCTGTACCATAATTGTATTCAAATAGTATTTATATTTAAATACCATAATACAATTCAATTCCCCAGAAAATTTTCTAAGGTCACACAATTTATGCAGATGCATACAGAACTCATAGGAAATAAATTATAATAAACTATACCTTCCATTCTTGTTTTCAGACACATGAGAATTTACTTCAATTAAATTGTCCAGGTCCTGGTCTCTGGTAAATAAATGCAGGAATGAATGAATGAATGATTTAGTTACACCTCAATGTTAGATCATAGATGCTCCATAAATAAGCAAATATTAAAATAACAAACTTAAAAATCAGTACATAATCTTAGATATAGTCACATGTAGCCTATAGGAGATTGAAAATCTGACATTGAGCTATTTAATCCATACAACTCACAGATCAAATATGAAAGTTGCTTTGGTAAAGCAACACCAAAAATGCATTACTAAGATCTGATCAAACTAAAAAGCTTCTGCATAGCCAAGAGTACAGTAAGTAAAGCAAACAGACAACCTTCAGAATGGGAGATTTTTGCAGGTTATGTTTCTGACAAAGGTCTGATAACTAGAATCTACAGAGAATTCAAACTAATCAATAAGAAAAGAAAAAATAACCCCATTTCTATGTGGGCAAGAGACTTGAACAGAAGAAACCTCTCTGAAGAAGATCAGCACACGGCCTATAGACACATGAAAAAATGCTCATCATCCTCAGAGAAATTCAAATCAAAATCACTTTGAGATATCATCTAACTCCAGTAAGATTAGCCCACATCACAAAATCCCAAAACTACAGAAGTTAGCATGGGTGCAGAGAAAAGAGAACACTTCTACACTGCTGGTGGGAATGCAAGCTAATATGGCCTTTTTGGAAAGAAGTTTGGAGAATACTCAAGGAACGAAAAGTAGACCTACAGTTTGATCCTGTAATTCCTCTACTAGGTATATACCCAGATGATCAAAAGTCATTTCACAACAAAGACATTTGCACCAGAATGTTTATTGCAGCCCAATTCATAATTGCCAAGACATGGAAACAGCCTAAGTACCCATCAATTCATGAATGGATTAACAAATTGTGGTATATGTACACCATGGAATACTCTGCAGCCATAAACAAATGAAGACTTCACATCTTTTATGTTTACCTGGGTGGAGCTAGAATATAGTCTTCTTAGTAAAGTATCTCAAGAATGGAAAAAAAAGTATCCAATGTACTTCATACTACTATGAAATCAATATATAATCACATACACATTCATACAAATGGTAAAACATAACTATCATCTAGAAAGTGGAAGGGAAGAGGAGAAAGATGGGAGAGGAGAGAGGTGGTAGGAGGAGGGAGGATATTTTGGGGAACCTCACTTAATGTGCATAATGCAATGGTACATTTCAAAACTATTAAAAAATTATAATTGTCTTACCACAAGGAATAAATAAATGAGGTGATGGATGTGTTAATTAGTTTGATGTAAGCATTTCACACTGTACATCAAATCAGTACACTGACCCCCATAAATGCATCAATGTACACAGTTATGATTTTAAAAAAGCAAATATGAAAGTATGGATTGCACTTTCATAAGAGAGAAATAAATAAACTAACTCTTTGGAAGGTTTGGGAAATCTGGTCTGAAAAGAAACAACAGAGTTGTATTTGCATTGGGCTAAAATGTAATGAGTACTAACTCCGTGCCACAATGTACTAACTGTGGATTTTCACATGGATTATCTCACTCAGATCTCCCAAATCCTGCAGGACAACATCTATAGCTCAGAAAGGCTAAGTGAATTTTCCAAGGCCAATTAGCGAACTTATGAAAGATTCGAGATTTGAGGCTGTACTTGAAGACTTCGTTCAGGCTTTGGGGATTACAGAAACATGGGAAATGGACTCAAAATTTGAATAAGCAACTCATAATGTGCAGTATAAATGGAGTGATCAGATTCTTACATCTTAGGCTACAGTAACAATTTGAGGCTTTTTTTTATATCAAAGGTCCTCTGGTATGTTATTTGGATATTAGTCATTAATATGTTAAGTAAACACCAATAATTCCCATTACTTTTTGAGGAATTTATAAAAGCCCTTGTCAGTTTGGTAGGAGCATTGTTTCAGCATAACAACAATGAGGCCCATCTTTCCCCTTACTTCTTTGGGTAAGTTACTCATCCTTTATAAGCTTCATTTTGTACAGGAGGATACTGAGATCCAAATTTTATAAGGTTGTGGTGAGAATGAATGAACTAATGTGAATAACACTTAATACACAATCACCACAGTCGAACTTGATTTGAATAAACATAAATAAATAATAGTTAATAGAAATGCAGTGATTCTGCAGTAGGTGCTATTGATTCCACAGTTTTGAGGGACTACTTTTTCACTTTAATCTCTGTCCTAAATTTTCACATCTTTGGAATTAACTCCAGTTCTTAACAATCTCACTTCTCATGGTCCTGAATGGTGGGCTTAAAATAAGTCATTATACATACATGGGATCAGTAAAGGAACTCTCACTCACAAAATTAATATTAATAAGGATGCAAAATAGCATAAAATGTTCTCATATTTATGTGGAGTAAGATTTAATATTCTTTTATATAACATCTAATCCATCAATAACTGATAAAATATGCAAATTAGACATCATTCCACAGCTGCACTTAACCTCACATTTAAAATACTAGCTGCGTACTTTTCAAAATGTAGAAATTAGGGTACATTACTTTCTAATGTGACTTACAGTAGAAGTATGCCAATTAGTGTATATAAAAAATACTACATTTCAGAAGCAGCTCAGAAATTTCAGATCATTTCATCCTGTGGTCTGAATGATGTAAAATTCAAAACTGAATTCCCCAACATAACTGCTAGAACCATGTAAGATGACCTCCCAGTTTGCATCTTGCAAATTTAGAAATGGTAGGACTTTGGATTTGTCTAACCTCTGATGGTCTTCAAGGAGGCAGGAGGCACTACTATCTTAATGACCTTGACAATTAAGTGATCCTCCCCATAATGTTTTAAAGAATAGTTTAATAAATACTTGGGGATAATGGCTGGCCATGGTGGACTGTGCCTGCAGCTACTCAGGAAGCTGAGCTAGGAGGACCCCCTGAGCCCCGGAGTTTGAAGCCAGCCTGAGCAACATAGCAAGACCCTGTCTCTTAAAAATATATATACTTGGGGATAGTGGAATAAAAGTTAAAGGAGTATCATGCTATTCCATAATTCAGTTTCCTAAGAACATCAAACTGAGATGGTTGGCAGGGGTAACTAGTGAAAGCCCACCAGGAAATGTGAATCTCAGGCAAGTAAAATTTTGTCCCTTCAATTGATTCTCCCTCCATGGTTAATGTTAGAGGAACTGAGTGTTATTTTTTAAGGAAGTTGGTGGCTTTCATTATAACTTGAGTAGGATCATATTAGTATGGCCTAACTTGGCCTTGCACATCATAGATGCTCTGTAAATATTTGGGAAATTAAATTAATTTACATTCTCTTTTCTTCTTTGGCAAGATCCATTACTATCTTCCCTAGCTCTGGGAAAGATGTTAAAGGAGCAGCAAGGGAAAGGTATTATCCTAGACGCTGAACCTCTCAGGCAATCTACTCTAAGCACGTAGCGTGCACCATGACCACCAAAAATCAGCAAAGCCAGTTTCCCCTCCGTCTGCATCACTTACCCACAGCCTGCCTTCCTTACCACTGAAAGCACATATTTCTTTTCTTTTTCACACAGCTCCCATTCCTGGCTTGGTTTAATTATTTTTGGAACTTGTTATGGGTTAAATTGAACACTCTCCAAAACTGATTTGTTGAAGCCCTAATCCCTGACATCTCAGAGTGTGATCTTCTTTAGAGTTAGGGTCTTTACAGAGGTAACCAAGTTTCATGACTTTGCCAGAGGAAATTTGGACTCAGACAATATGAAGACACGGGGGAGGACAGCCGGCTACAAGGAGAGAGGCCAGGAATAGATCCTCTCCTCCCCGCCTCAAAAGGACCCAGATGTCAGACTTCCCTCCTCCAGAGTTGCGAGAAAATAAAGCTTTGTCTTTAAACCACCCAGTCTGTGGTACTTTTTAATACATCTCTAGCAAATGCATACAGAGCTTCATCTACCTTCACAATGTGATTACACTTAAATTTTAGCCTGAGGGTGGACATCGTCAATTCCACCACGGCTGCTGTGTCTCTGCTTTGTCTACATCTCTCCCCCAAGCCCTTTTGGATCTTAGCTATCTCACGCGAGAACAAGAATAGGTGTGGAGAAGAAGCCAGAAGCTTACAAATCCAATAACCTCAGCGGACAACTCAAAATTGGAACCTACGCACGCCTTCTATGAAGCTTACTCCCAAAGTGGCACAATTAAAACAAATAAACCATGCTGTTTGTTTCCTAAAATTTTCTTATTTTATTACATAGTAAGTATCACACATCAAGTTTGGTAGAGTCGGTTGTGAGAGTTAAATCTGAATCATCTGTGCATACACCAAAATATAAGGTTCCAGCTTATCAGTCTAAAATGTGTATTTACTTTGGTTATTCATTCTGGTTGCTGTCATCAGCTATTTTTGAAGATTCAGTAAAAGAAGCTCAGACTTGTCATAGATTTTCCAAGTGAAAGGATATAAAAATAAATGTTTGTTCTTTCTTTAAGAACAAATCTATTGCATGATGCCTTTACACTGAGTCTGAAGATGAAGAAATACGATAGTTCTTTAGATTTTTGTGGAACCCCAACAAATGCTACAGGGTTGAACCAAGCCTTGATTCTAAACCCTTTCATGGCAGTTGCAGGGGAAGGAAAACCTCATAATTTGTACATTTATGAGCAGTTGAAATTACTTCCAAGAAAATCACCAACTCTCTATAGATAGAGGAAATTACTAGAGAGCAAATTGTTTCTAACCATTGCAACTGATAATGTTTTAAATACATATTTTAAAATATTTGGAGGGAAATAGGCACTATGTATGGGGTAAAGCCATGAGATAATTTTTGAGTAGAGAATTTATTCATGATATAACAGTGTCATTCATTTCCCACTGCCTCTTCAAGGAATCTCACACTCCTTTACAAAGCAAGTGAAGGAAAAATAGAGATTCTGGGGACCCGGCAATTATATCTCTTATTATACAACTTTTCCTAGGATAAGCTGTGCATAAGAGAAAGTTATTAGTTGTCTTCTAAC